CTGAGAGCTTTTTTCATCTGGGAGGCAATGCTGTGCCGGGGAGATGTCATCAGTGTGTCTAAATCCCAACTGGGAGGGCATGTGGAAACGGCAGTGAGACTCTTCTCATGGGTGTGCATGACCAGGACAAGGGAGAATGGAGAAATCTGAAATGACCTGCCGTACCTGTGGAAGAGTGGCAATCGTTTTTCAGTGTGAGAGTGGTCAAAGAGTGAAACTGGTTCTGCAAAGAAGTGCTACAGTGCCATCCCTGGAGATACTGAAAACTTGACTGGCCATGTTTGTTGACAGCCTGCTTGAGCTGGCCATGCTTGAGCCGCTTGGGTTGAAGCAGATGATCTTCAGAGGTAGCTTGGCACCCAGTGATTCTTTTTGCTTTGATTGTGCTTGTTGTGGTGACCAGAGAGTTGTGCTGGGGAAAAGGGTTGGTCAGGTGTGTGTAGCCATGGGGAAGCTATGTTAAGGGCATGTCTAGAAGTGCATAGCGTGTCCGAGCCTTTCTGCAGGCAAGTGAAGGGCTTGTGTCATGGGCGGGAAGCCCCCCGCTTCCAGTTTGTGTTGTTGTCCTTGCTGGAGAGATCCTCGCTAAGAGTTGTTGTGTAGCGCTTTTGTACTCATTCTGATGGCCTGTTGAGCCCTGGCTTTAGGTGGGTGAGGTTGGAAGAGCCTTGGGAGAAGAAAGAAAGAGGAGGCTTGTTTGGGTGGTTTGCAGGAGAACTTTATTGAGGGAAAAACACAGGGAAAAGGCAGGAGCGCCGAGTGGAAGAGAGCCGATCTGTGGTGGAAGTACAGCGACCACAAGCCGAGAGACCTTTTGTGCCGATGATGTTGTCAGATCTCTGAGGTCTTCCCGCCCTGCAGTAGGAGAACCTCACTGGAGCTCCAAGTGGGCTGTGACTTGTGAGAAGGTGTTTGCAGTGGAGAGTAGTAGACATAGCAGAAGGGGCGATGCAAAGAAGACAGTTGGAGAACAGGAGGAGGTACGTGGGCCATGTTTCCAATCAGCCGGGGCTCCCCCTTCCCTGTTTCTTTTCATGGTGCCTTGAGAGGAGGAGCCATGGAGGGTGAGCCCATGTGCCAGCAACAGCCCGGAGCTGCGTCCTCAATCGATGCCGTGGCTTGCAGGGTGTGGGTGGTTGGTGTCAGGGGTGGTGGTGAGGGCCCTTAGCAGGGGTAGCAGCCCCTTCTGGCACCGAAGCAGCCCAGGCCACCCAAGCCGTAGCCGTAGCCGTAGCCGAAGCCTCCGGAGGAGACGGGCACTCCCTGGGAGCTGAGGACGTTGCCCACGGCAGCCGATGAGGAGGATCCGACGGCGGTGCTCTGGGGGAAGGAGCTGAGGATGGGTCCTGGCAGGGTGACGAGCACGGCGGGAGGCTGGATGACGACGCGGGAGTCCTCGCACTGCCTGACACAGGGCTCGTTGCAGCTGTTAGCCAGCGGGGTGGGTCCGCAGGGGCGGCAGAGGTCGGAGCAGGCCATGGCTGTGGTGTGGAGGGGCCCTGGAAGAGAGGGGGGTGAGAAAGCGGAGGGGCGGTGGTGCAGGAGGGCGAGGGAGTGGGGAGGCGTGGTGTGGGACTGTGGGGAGCGTGGCTGCGGGGAGGCGTGAGGGCTGCTGAGGCTGGGGCCAGCAGAGCGTGCTGGAAGAGCCGGGCCAGGCAGGCCAGGAGAAGGAGGGGAAGGGGGTTGAGGCTCACCTTGTTGAGCGCGGAGGAGAAGGCGTCAGGAGAAGGGTGTGAGGGAGAGAGGCGCTGGGCCGGCTTTTATGCGGGTGCCCAAGGGGCGGGACAGCCTTTGCGCGTGACGGCATTTTGCAGCAGGCGGCTCTTGTGTGCCACGACCTCGCCAATAATGAGGTGGGGTGTGTTTCCCTTCCCGCAACGCTCACTTTTGATGTCCTTTTCTGGAGGACGTGTACTCGTGACACTGGAGGCAACTTTTAAGTGCGAGTAATAGAGGAAAATTGCATTAATGTTGGTTCTTTGTGTCAGAGCATTTGCTAGATGTTGCCGAAATGTAGATGTGCTTGTCAACAATGAGGTCAACCCAATGCATTCGTGTGTTGTGGCTTGCGGTATGTTGTGTAATGGGGTCTCCAGTTCCTCACAGCCCTGGCAACCTGGTCTGTTCTTTGCAGTTGTGTCAGGCACAAAGCATTGACACTGCCATGGCGTTCAGTCCCTCCCCACCTCACCGCCAGCTCACTAAGCTTCTCTTTAGACCCGGCCTTTCCTGTCAGCTGCTCTGTGTGTGTCTTGTTGCCCCTCTGGCTTGTTAGGCTGTGGCTGGGAGAAAGGCGGCTGCCTGTTTGGGCTTGCAGCCCCTTGGGGCCGTCCCTGGGGGTGGCAGTGCCAGCAGGCAGAGGAGGGCTGTTTGCGAGAGCAGGCCGTTGGCCTGGCAGCCCTGGTTCAGAGCTGGCAAGCCCTGTGCTGTGGGGAGGCCTGCCCTGCTCCCCAAAGGCTTGGGTTGGCCCCTCCGGAGCAATCGCCTCGGCAAGGGCTGGTAAGTTTTCAGCCTGGGCTCTGGTGTCATGTGTCCAAAAAAGAGCAACAAAGCTGGTGAAGAGTCTAGAGAAGAACAATGAATGGGGAATGCTTCAAGCAACTTGGCTGCTTTAGTTTCCCGAAAAAGAAAGTTGTGCATGGATGTTATTTCTCTGTACAACTGCTTGAATGAAGGTTGTATGGAGGTGCCTGTCAGTCTCTTATTTCTAGTAACGAGAGATAGAGGAGGAAACAGCCTCCTGTTGTGTCCAGGGAATTTTGCATTGGATATGAGGAACAATTTGTGCACCTAGAGTGTCATCGCGTGCAGCAGGACATGTTGGGGGTAGAAAGGCTAGAAAGCAGCTTTTCTGAACCCTGCTTTGTGTTGCTGCTTGGGAGAACGAGCTGACTGCAAGGTATCATTGTGATGTCATGTCCGAAGAGGGCAAGTGTCTCCAGGGTGTCATTGGGAAGATGGTGGCAGGAGGTTGGGGAGGTGATCCTGTACTCTCTGCAGGGCTGGTGAGGTCCCATGTGGAGTCCTGTGTCCATTGAGGGCTCCCCCATGGAAGAAGGACATGGACTTATTGGAATAAGGTAAGTGCTGGGCCACCCAGATGCTGAGAGTAGTAGAGCATCTTTACTATGAGGGGAAGCTAAATGATCTTGGCGGGTTTTCAGGCATGAGTCAAGGCCATGCTGGGAAGATGTCATCAGTGTGTCGAAATCGCAGGTGGGAGGGCAGAAGGGCAGAGGAGTGAGAATCTTCTTATGGGTGCCCATGGACAGTGCAAAGGTGAATGGAGAAGGCTGAAAAGATGTGCCATTTCCTTGGAAGGGAAGGCAACCCTTTTTTGGTGTGAGAGTGGTCAAAGAGTGAAACTGGTTGTGCAAAGATGTGCTGAATTCCCATCCTTGGAGACACTGAAAACCTGTGTGGACGTGTTTATGGACATCGTGCTCAATCTGGCCATGCTTGAGCAGGTTGGGATGGAGACGTTGAGCTCTGGAGGTTGCTTGCACTCTCAGTGATTCTTTTTGCCGTGTTTCTCTTTGCTGTGATGGCCAGAGTTGTGATGAGCAAGGGAGTGGGTCAGTGGGGAGCAGAATGAAGCCCTCATAGTTCAACGGAGATGGTTAGCGACCTGCTAGAGTGCTTGGACATGCACAAGTCTATGGGAACAAAATGATCCACCCACGGGCATTGAAGGAGGTGTTGGATGTGCTCTGCAAGCCACTTTCAAGCACTTCTCAGCACTCCTTGGCTAACCGGGTAGGTCCCAGCTGACTGGAGATTAGCAAAAGTGAGGCTCATGTGCAAGAAATGCTGGATTGAGGATGTGGGGAACTACGGTCCTGTGAGTGTGACCTCAGTGCCAGGCAAAGATATGGAGCAGATCATCTCGAGAGCCTTCACTCGGCACCTACAGGTCAACCAGGTGATCAGGCTCGGTCAGCATGGTTTTATGAAAGGCAGGTCCAGCTTGACTATCCTGATCTCCGTCACTGAGAGGAGAGGCGTTGGACGTTCTTTCCCTGCAAGTTAGTAAAGCACTTGATGCTGTTTCCTACATCATTCTCCTGGAGAAACTAGCTGCTCATGGCTTGGACTGACATATTGTTTGCTTGGTAGAGAACCGGCTGCATATTTGTGCCCTAAGAGTTGTGGTGAATGGAGTTAAATCCAGTTGGTGGCCAGTCACAAGTGGTGTTGGCCGTGGCTGAGAGTTTGAGCCAATTTTCTTGAATAGCTTTATCAGTGATCTGGAGGAGGGGATAAAGTGCACCCTCAGTAACATTGCAGACATCAACTAGTTGGGTGGGAGTGTCGATCCAGTAACAAGTGATACGATGAAAGGAAACGGCCTCACGTTGTGCCAGGGGAGGGTTAGATTGGATAGTAGGAAACATTTCTCCACTGAAAAGTTTGCGAGGCATTGGAACTGGGTGCCTTTATAATTAGTTGAGTCACCATCCCTGGAGTTATTTAAATGCTGTGTCAATGTGTTGTTCAGGGATGTGGATTAGTGGTGGACTTGGTATCATTAGATTAACGAGTTTGGACTCGATGATCTTAAGAGACACTTCCATCTAAATTGTTTTATGGTGGTGTGTGTTGTTGTTGTTGCTAAGGACATACTCGATAGGTGAGGCCTTGCAGCCCATTTCCACTCAGCCCAGTGGGTTCCTGAGCCCTGTCTTTTTGTTGGGTGAGGTTGGAAGAGCCTTGGGAGAAGAAAGGAAGTGGAGGCATTTCAAGCGGGGATGCAGGAGAATTTTATTGAGAGAAAAAACCAGGGAGAATGCAGGATCGCCGAGTGGAAGGGAGCTGGTCTGATGGAGAAGTACGGCGACCATCAGCCAAGGTCCCTTGCATGCAGTAGATCACCCAGCTGTTCCTGTTCTGCAGTGGGAGCATCCCACCAGAGGCCTTGATGGCCTTTCTCTGCTGAGAAGGTGTTTGCAGCGGAGAATATTGGACATAGCAGGAGTGGCGATGCAAAAAATACAGTTGGAGAACAGGAGGAGGTACATGGGTCATGTTTCCAGGAAAGCGCAGCTACCCCATCCTTGCTTCCTTATTTAATGCATAGAGAGGAGGAGCCGTTGATGTTGAGCTCGTGTGTCAAGGGCCCTTAGCAGGGGTAGCAGCCTCTCCCGGCGCCGAAGCAGCCCAGGCCGCCCAAGCCGTAGCCGTAGCCGAAGCCGAAGCCTCCGGAGGAGACGGGCACTCCCTGGGAGCTGAGGACGTTGCCCACGGCAGCCGATGAGGAGGATCCGACGGCGGTGCTCTGGGGGAAGGAGCTGAGGATGGGTCCTGGCAGGGTGACCACCACGGTGGAAGGCTGGATGACGACGCGGGAGTCCTCGCACTGCCTGACACAGGGCTCGTTGCAGCTGTTAGCCAGCGGGGTGGGTCCGCAGGGGCGGCAGAGGTCGGAGCAGGCCATGGCTGTGGTGTGGAGGGGCCCTGGAAGAGAGGGGGGTGAGAAAGCGGAGGGGCGGTGGTGCAGGAGGGCGAGGGAGTGGGGAGGCGTGGTGTGGGGCTGTGGGGAGCGTGGCTGCGGGGAGGCGTGAGGGCTGCTGAGGCTGGGGCCAGCAGAGCGTGCTGGAAGAGCCGGGCCAGGCAGGCCAGGAGAAGGAGGGGAAGGGGGTTGAGGCTCACCTTGTTGAGCGCGGAGGAGAAGGCGTCAGGAGAAGGGTGTGAGGGAGAGAGGCGCTGGGCCGGCTTTTATGCGGGTGCCCAAGGGGCGGGACAGCCTTTGCGCGTGACGGCATTTTGCAGCAGGCGGCTCTTGTGTGCCACGACCTCGCCAATAATGAGGTGGGGTGTGTTTCCTTTCCCTCAATGCTCCCTTTTCTTGTCTTCTTCTTGCAGACGTATCCACCTGAGCCCGTCAGAAGCTTTGAAAGGAGAGTAGGTATTTGGGAGCATTTACATGGAAGGTGCGTGTCAGGGCATTCAGCAGATGCAGCGAAAGTGTAGGACTAATGGGGTGTCATCAGTGAGGTCATCCCGTGGCACCCGTGTGAGGTGGTTTTGCGGGTGCGTTGTGAAGAGTGGGCCCCATCTCCTCAGAGCCTTGGCAGACTGATGTGGGCTTTGGACGTGTTGTGGGTGTGAGGGGCTGGTTCTGCCGTGGCGTTCCATCCCTCCACACCTCTCTGCCAGCTCACTAAGCCTGTCCATATACGTGGCCTTTTCCTTTGGGTATGCTTTCTGTATTTCTCATTGCCCATCAGGACTGTATGTTTGTCGCTGGGTATACTGATTTATATCGCAAGGTTTTGTTAGCGACAGATCTGCAGGGTTGTCTTCTGTGAGAATATGCCAGAAGCTTCCCTCACATCCAATAAAGCCAATGCCAGCCGGCTCCATGACAGCACATTCCATGCCAAACCTGAGCCAATCAGCTGTTGTAGTCGCGCCGCTTTGCTAATTTATTTAAGCAGGGGAAGAAGTACTGCGCAACAGCAGCAGGAAGATAGGAGGGAGAATGTGTGAGAGGAAACAACTTTGCAGAGTGTCAAGTCAGTAAAGAAAAAGGGGTAGGATCTGCTCGAGGCAGCAGAGGCGAGATTCCCCTGCAGCCTGTGGAGAAGGCCATGGTGAGGCAGGCTGTCCACCTGCAGCGCGTGCAGGTCTGTGGTGCAGTAAATATCCACCTGCAGCACATGGAGGACCCTACCCCAGATTGGGTGGATGCACTCAGAGAGGGGGCTTTCTGTGTGATCTCAGAGCGGAGGAATGGTGTCTTGGGGTCCCCTGAGCAAGTGGCCCAGGGACGCTGAGGTAGGGAGGATGATGGTCCGGAGACCCTCTGCATGGGTCACTGTGGGACCTTGCAGTGAAGAGGAGATGGTGGACTGAGGATCCTCTGCAAGGGATCAGTTGGGGACCCCGAAGCAAGGTGAGACTGTGGTGTGGGGACTCCCACATAGGTGGCAGGGGGACCAGGCAGCCAGGTGGACAGTGCCACAGGGACCCACGCTTGGTTCAGCTGAGGAGCCCAGAGCAAGGCGGGTGGTGACCTGGGCACCCTGCATGGGTTGCCCAGGGTCCTGGTAGCCAGGGGGGATGGGGCCATGGGATCCTGTGTGGGTGGCCCTGGGAGCCGTCTGTGAGGGCAGATGGTGTCATGGGGACTGCCAGGCAGTTGGCCTGGGGACCACAACAAGGGGGACGATGACAGGGGACCCTGTGTGGGTGTGTCTGGCACCCTGCAGCGCAGGAAGAAGCGCAGGCTCTGTTGAGGTATTAATTGATGGCAGATTTTGGGGGGATGTTATTTAATCAGTGCATTTTCCCTCCCTCTTTCCCCTCAGAGTCCCCTAACTGCTCTCGTGTGAGGTGTTACTTTTGGTTTTCGTCAGCATTTCTACCCATTCATTCCCTCATTCACCGCCCAGCCCTGCCAGCAGTTGTTTTGGGGGCCATTTGGTGAAGATTATCCATTTGTTCTACCAGCAATGTCAATTTTGGAATCCTGACAGGCACCTGCTGGATGCTCCCAGGGCCTTTTGCAGCAGCTGGTGCCTATTAGTTGCCCCCTGACTGGCAGGTTGTCAGCTGCCCCCTGACTGGTATGTTGAGAGGTGCCTTGTGATTGGCTGGTTGCTGAAGGTGCTGAGGCAAGGATGGGCTTCTGGCACATTCTGGAAGCCCCCCAGGTCCAGTCTGTGTTGGTGGTGCATATTTCCGAGGAGAGGTCTTGTATCCCTTTTCCACCCACCCCAATGGCAGTTGAGCCCTGGCTTTGTGCTGAGTAAAGCTGAAAGAGCTTTTGGAGAAGAAAGGAAGCGGAGTAGTCTTTGGCTAAGATGTGGGACAAATTTATTAAGGAGAAAAGAAAGGAAAAAGAAGACGCACGAAGTGGAAGGGAGCTCGTCTGAGGTGTAATAGGGTGACCATTCAGCAGGGGTCCCTTAGGGGCACTAGATTTTTCCAGAGTACACCGGTACTCCTACCCTGCAGTGGGAGAATCCCACCTGAGGTCCCCAGTGGGTTTTGGTTTGTGAGAAGGTGTTTGCAGCAGAGTGTAGCGGACATGGCAGAAGGGAGGATGCAGAGAAGACATTTGGACAAAAGAAGGCGGTACACGGGCCCTGTTTCCAGGCATCCAGTGCTGGCCCTTACATATTTCTTTGCGTGGTTCCTTGAGAGAAGAGGCCGTTGACATCAAGCTCGTGTGTCAAGGGCCCTTAGCAGGGGTAGCAGCCCCTTCTGGCGCCGAAGCAGCCCAGGCCGCCCAAGCCGTAGCCGTAGCCGAAGCCGAAGCCGAAGCCTCCGGAGGAGACGGGCACTCCCTGGGAGCTGAGGACGTTGCCCACGGCAGCCGATGAGGAGGATCCGACGGCGGTGCTCTGGGGGAAGGAGCTGAGGATGGGTCCTGGCAGGGTGACGAGCACGGCGGGAGGCTGGATGACGACGCGGGAGTCCTCGCACTGCCTGACACAGGGCTCGTTGCAGCTGTTAGCCAGCGGGGTGGGTCCGCAGGGGCGGCAGAGGTCGGAGCAGGCCATGGCTGTGGTGTGGAGGGGCCCTGGAAGAGAGGGGGGTGAGAAAGCGGAGGGGCGGTGGTGCAGGAGGGCGAGGGAGTGGGGAGGCGTGGTGTGGGGCTGTGGGGAGCGTGGCTGCGGGGAGGCGTGAGGGCTGCTGAGGCTGGGGCCAGCAGAGCGTGCTGGAAGAGCCGGGCCAGGCAGGCCAGGAGAAGGAGGGGAAGGGGGTTGAGGCTCACCTTGTTGAGCGCGGAGGAGAAGGCGTCAGGAGAAGGGTGTGAGGGAGAGAGGCGCTGGGCCGGCTTTTATGCGGGTGCCCAAGGGGCGGGACAGCCTTTGCGCGTGACGGCATTTTGCAGCAGGCGGCTCTTGTGTGCCACGACCTCGCCAATAATGAGGTGGGGTGTGTTTCCCTTCCTGCAAACCGTTGTTTTGTGTCCTTCTCTTGAGGAAGTGTCCTTCTGACCCTGGCGGCAACTTTAAAGTACAATTAGTACAGGAGCCAGAGGATTGATGTTTTTGGCTCATTTCAGGTCACGTAGAAGATGCCATCATAGTGTAGGAGTGGCAGGTTGTCATCAGTGGGGTGATGCCTTTGCTCACTGATGATGCCTGACTTTTCTGGGCTTTAAATCTCTCTCAGCTCTTTCAGCCTCTCGTGAAAAATGACTCAGGCCTTCATAGTCTTGGTTGCCCTTTACTGGTCTTGCTCTCAAACGTCCATTGTTTTTTTTCCACTTGGGAGCCCAGGATTGAAGACAGCACCCTAGAAGAGACCTCACTACTTCTTAGGAGTGATGAAAAGCTACCTCCTTTGACCTGCTGGCAATGCTTTTCCTAATGATGCTCAGGAAAGTGTTGACCACTTTTCCCTCATTGGTGTATTCCCATTTCATGGCCAATTTGTTCTCCACCAGGACCACAGTGTCCTTCCCTGCTAAGCTGCTGTCTGTGATCTGACCCCCAGCCATTCCTGCTATATGGGGTGACTCTTCCCCAGAAACATGACTTTGCATCTCCCCTTGCTGAACTTCATCAGATTCCTCTAAGTTCAGTGCAGGGAAATCAGGAAGCTCCCTCAGCATTTGTGGGTGCAAACCATCTTTCCGCATGGAGTTTTGCAGATCCAGTTACCCAACTGCTATTTCTTGGGGGCAGCTGTGAGTACACTTCACACACTGGCCTCCCCAGCCCAGCCCTGCACTGGCCCAGCATGCCTCTTACACTCCAGCACCCATCAACACAGAGCCACAGATAGCCTTCCTACATCATCTCCTCTTCCTTACCACCATGCTCTGCTCACACAATGAACAACTCTAAAGACACTCACCTTTGCTGAATGTGGGGAGGTCTTGGGAGTCTGGAGAGGTCTTCACTGTTGGAAGCTATCCAGTCTTATTTGCATTTATAAAAACAGTGTGAGGGTAGACCCAGGAAACTAGAGACTTGTTAGTCTAACCACATTACCTGGAAAAGTTATGGAGCAGATCCTAGTGGGTGCTATCGAAAGACATTTAAAAGACACTGGGATCATCAGGCAACATGGGTTCACTAAGTGAAAGTCCTGCCTGACTAATTTGATATCCTCCTCCGATAAGGTCACCTGCCTCGTGGATGAAGGGAAGGCCATGGATGTAGTTTTTCTGTATTTTATTAAGGCTTTTGATCCTGTGCCTCACAGCATCCTCCTGAAATAGCTCTCCATCTGTGAGATGAGCAGGTACATGGTATGATGGGTAAAGAACTGGCTGAACAGCGGGGCTCAAAGAGTTGTGGTGAGGGGGGCTACATCTGGCTGGGACCAGTCACAAGCACTGTGGCTCAGGGCTCCATTCTAGGGCCAGCTCTGGTCAAGATTTCTAGCAATAGTCTATGCAGGAGTTGAACACACCATTAGCAAATTTGCTGCTGATACCAAACTGAAAAGTGCTGTTGACTCTCTTGATAGACAGGAGGCCAGGGACAGAGATCTAGATAGACTGGAGCATTGGGCAATGATTAATGGCAAGAAACTGAACAAGAATAAATGCAGCATTCTGTACCTGGGACAGAGCAATGCTGGACACTAACTTCTCCAGTGTGTGTCCTTCCCATGAACTGAAGTTGTCCATGAGCTGCTCCAGCATGGGTCCTTTCCATGGGATGCAGTCCTTCAGGAAGGGACTGATTCAGTATGGGTCTCCTGCAGGGTCACAGGTCCTGCCAGAAGACCTGCTCCACTGTGGGCTCCACTCTGAGGGGTTACAGCCACCTTTCAAGCACATCCACATGCTCTGGCATGGGGTCCTCCATGGGCTGCAGGTGGGCATCTGCTCTGCCATGAACCTATGTGAGCTGCAGGAGAACAGCCTGATTGACCACAGTCTTCACCATGGGCTGCAGGGGAATTTCTGCTCTGACATCTGGAGAACCTCCTTGCCCTCCTTCTTCACTGACATGAACAGTTGTTTCTCTCATATTCTCCATCCTGTCTTCCAGCTGCTCTTCTACAGCACTTTATTCCCCCTGTGAAATGTTATCACAGAGGTGTCCCCACGGTAGCTGATTGCTTCAGGTTTGGCCAACAGCGGCTCAATCTTGAAGACGCATGTCAACGGCGCTGACAAACAGGGGAATCTTCTGGCATCTTCTCACAGAAGCAACCTTTGCAGAGCTGTTGCTACCAAAACCTTGACATACAAAGCCACTAAAACCAGTGACAAACATAAAAGCCTGAGGGGCACAGACACTCACGCAGTGCAGCCAATGGGAAAGGACAGATATAAAGACAGCCTTAGCGAGATGGCAGTAAGGCAGGCAGGGACCAAACATAATGGAAAAGGGAGCTTGGCCATACACCCACAACACCTGAAAACACCAGACAAGCCTGCCATGGCAGTAAGGAAATGGGGCCCTATCTTCACAAAGCACCTGCAAACCACACCACATGGGTAAATTGAAATGGGCTCACTGGCAACGACAAAATTATCCTGTTCCTTGGTCACAACTCCTAAAGCACTAAGGATCAGAAGGACATGTCCTCAAGAGAAGAACAGAAATGGAGCATTGCCGGAAAGGAAACACACCCCACCTCATTATTGGCGAGGTCGTGGCACACAAGAGCCGCCTGCTGCAAAATGCCGTCACGCGCAAAGGCTGTCCCGCCCCTTGGGCACCCGCATAAAAGCCGGCCCAGCGCCTCTCTCCCTCACATCCTTCTCCTGACGCCTTCTCCTCCGCGCTCAACAAGGTGAGCCTCAACCCCCTTCCCCTCCTTCTCCTGGCCTGCCTGGCCCGGCTCTTCCAGCACGCTCTGCTGGCCCCAGCCTCAGCAGCCCTCACGCCTCCCCGCAGCCACGCTCCCCACAGCCCCACACCACGCCTCCCCACTCCCTCGCCCTCCTGCACCACCGCCCCTCCGCTTTCTCACCCCCCTCTCTTCCAGGGCCCCTCCACACCACAGCCATGGCCTGCTCCGACCTCTGCCGCCCCTGCGGACCCACCCCGCTGGCTAACAGCTGCAACGAGCCCTGTGTCAGGCAGTGCGAGGACTCCCGCGTCGTCATCCAGCCTTCCACCGTGGTGGTCACCCTGCCAGGACCCATCCTCAGCTCCTTCCCCCAGAGCACCGCCGTCGGATCCTCCTCATCGGCTGCCGTGGGCAACGTCCTCAGCTCCCAGGGAGTGCCCGTCTCCTCCGGAGGCTTCGGCTACGGCTACGGCTACGGCTTGGGCGGCCTGGGCTGCTTCGGCGCCGGAAGGGGCTGCTACCCCTGCTAAGGGCCCTCACCACCACCCCTGACACCAACCACCCACACCCTGGAAGCCACGGCATCCATTGAGGACGCAGTTCCGGGCTGTTGCTGGCACATGGGCTCACCCTCCATGGCTCCTCCTCTCAAGGCACCATGAAAAGAAACAGGGAAGGGGGGAGCCCCGGCTGCCTGGAAACTTGGTCCACGTACCTTCTCCTGTTCTCCAACTGTCTTCTTTGCATCGCCCCTTCTGCTATGTCTGCTGCTCTCCGCTGCAAACACCTTCTCACAAGCCAAAATCCACCTGGAGCTCCAGTGAGCTACTCCTAGTGCAGGGCAGGAAGACCTCACAGATCTGGCAACATCAACTGCACAAAAGGGCTCTCGGCTTGTGGTCGCTGTACTTCCACCACAGATCGGTTCTCTTCCACTCGGCACTCCTGCCTTTTCCCTGTGTTTTTCCCTCAATAAAGTTCTCCTGCAAACCACCCAAACAAGCCTCCTCTTTCTTTCTTCTCCCAAGGCTCTTCCAACCTCACCCACCTAAAGCCAGGGCTCAACAGGCCATCAGAATGAGTACAAAAGCGCTACACAACAACTCTTAGCGAGGATCTCTCCAGCAAGGACACCAACACAGAGTGGAAGCGGGGGGCTTCCCGCCCATGACACAAGCCCTTCACTTCCCTGCAGAAAGGCTCGGACACGCTGTGCACTTCTAGACATGCCCTTAACATAGGTTCCCCATGGCTACACACACCTGACCAACCCCTTTCCCCAGCACAACTCTCTGGTCACCACAACAAGCACAATCAAAGCAAAAAGAATCACTGGGTGCCAAGCTACCTCTGAAGATCATCTGCTTCAACCCAAGCGGCTCAAGCATGGCCAGCTCAAGCACGCTGTCAACAAACATGGCCAGTCAAGTTTTCAGTATCTCCAGGGATGGGACTTCAGCACTTCTTTGCAGAACCACTTTCACTCTTTGACCACTCTCACACTGAAAAACGATTGCCACTCTTCCAAGGGTACGGCAGGTCATTTCAGATTTCTCCATTCTCCCTTGTCCTGGTCATGCACACCCACGAGAAGACTCTCACTGCCGTTTCCACATGCCCTCCCAGTTGGGATTTAGACACACTGATGACATCTCCCCGGCACAGCATTGCCTCCCAGATGAAAAAAGCTCTCAGCTCTCTCAGTTTCCCTCATAGCAAAGATGCTCCAGTCCCTTCAGCATCTCGGTTGCCCTGCACTCACCTCATTCCTCTAAGTCCATGTCCTGCTTCAACAGAGGAGACCTCAATGGACACAGGACTCCATGTGAGGCCTCACCAGACCTTCAGGGAGTACAGGATCACCTCCCCAAACCTCCTGGCAACGCTCTTCCCAACGCCGCCCTGGAGATACTTGGCCTCTTTTGACGTAATGGCGCAGTGATGCCTCGCAGTCAGGTCATTCTCCACCAGCAACACAAAGCAGGGTTCAGAAAAGCTGCTTTCCAGCCTCTCTACCCCCAGCATGTCCAGATGCCCTGTGCTATTCACCACACAGATGCAGGCCTTTGCTTTTCTGCCTCTTGAACTCCCAGAGATTCCCCTCTGCCTCATTCTCCAGACTCCCTCAGAATGGCAGCACAACCATCCGTTGGCTTAGGTTCTCTTCCAGATTTTGCATCATCTGACAACTTCCTTAGGCAGCACTTCGTCCCACTGCCCACGCCACTGATGAGGATGTTGAACAGTGTTGGCCCCATGGATGCCAGTCCTGGGCTACGCCGTTTGAGACTTGCCTGCATCTGGACTTTGGGACACTCATCACAAGCCACTGCGCCCAGCCCTTCAGCCACTTTCGCAACCAATACTTTCTCAGTGTGTTTAGGAACATGCAAGGGGGGAAAGCGTCAAAGCTTAACGAAAAAAGGCGAGGTAAACACCAGCCACGGCTCTCATCCTTGTCCACAAAGAGAGTCACTTCAATATAGAGGACATGGAGGTTGGTCAGCTGTGACTTCCCCTTTGTAAATCCACACCGACAGATCCGCACCAGCTTCTTGTCCTTTCTCGGACTGACAGTGCTTTCTGTGAGGATTTTCAACATCACCTGCCACAGAAGCAAGGCCAGTCTCAACAGTTTCTACTTTCCCAAATCTTCCATCCTAGTCTGCTACAATACATCAGGCCTATAAGCTCTCTTCCAGCCATCAGGAACTGCTCAAAAGGGAAGCCGTCTTTCTCACAGCCACAGCCTTACAAGACCGAGGGGCAGGCAACCTCATGGATCTCAGCCAGCAGGGAAGGCCAGGCCTAAAGACACGCTTAGCAAGCTGGCATAAGGCGGGGAGGGACGGAACGTCATGGTAGGGTCAGTCCCTCGTGTCTGGCAAATCTACAAATCCCAAACCAGTCTGCCAGGGCTGCGAGGAAATGGAGACCCCATTACACAACATACCGCAAGCCACAACACACGAATGCATTGGGTTGACCTCATTGTTGACAAGCACATCTACATTTCGGCAACATCTAGCAAATGCTCTGACACAAAGAACCAACATTAATGCATTTTTCCTCTATTACTCGCACTTAAAAGTTGCCTCCAGTGTCACGAGTACAGGTCCTCAAGAAAAGGACATGAAAAGTGAGCGTTGTGGGAAGGGAAGCACACCCCACCTCATTATTGGCGAGGTCGTGGCACACAAGAGCCGCCTGCTGCAAAATGCCGTCACGCGCAAAGGCTGTCCCGCCCCTTGGGCACCCGCATAAAAGCCGGCCCAGCGCCTCTCTCCCTCACACCCTTCTCCTGACGCCTTCTCCTCCGCGCTCAACAAGGTGAGCCTCAACCCCCTTCCCCTCCTTCTCCTGGCCTGCCTGGCCCGGCTCTTCCAGCACGCTCTGCTGGCCCCAGCCTCAGCAGCCCTCACGCCTCCCCGCAGCCACGCTCCCCACAGCCCCACACCACGCCTCCCCACTCCCTCGCCCTCCTGCACCACCGCCCCTCCGCTTTCTCACCCCCCTCTCTTCCAGGGCCCCTCCACACCACAGCCATGGCCTGCTCCGACCTCTGCCGCCCCTGCGGACCCACCCCGCTGGCTAACAGCTGCAACGAGCCCTGTGTCAGGCAGTGCGAGGACTCCCGCGTCGTCATCCAGCCTTCCACCGTGGTGGTCACCCTGCCAGGACCCATCCTCAGCTCCTTCCCCCAGAGCACCGCCGTCGGATCCTCCTCATCGGCTGCCGTGGGCAACGTCCTCAGCTCCCAGGGAGTGCCCGTCTCCTCCGGAGGCTTCGGCTTCGGCTACGGCTACGGCTTGGGCGGCCTGGGCTGCTTCGGCGCCGGAAGGGGCTGCTACCCCTGCTAAGGGCCCTTGACACACGAGCTCAACATCAACGGCTCCTCCTCTCTATGCAATAAATAAGGAAGCAAGGATGGGGTAGCTGTGGTTTCCTGGAAACTTGACCCATGTGCCTCCTCCTGTTCTCCAACTGTCTTCTTTGCATCCGCCTTCCTGCTATGTCCAATATTCTCCGCTGCAAACACCTTCTCAGCAGAGAAATGCCATCAAGGCCTCTGGTGGGATGCTCCCACTGCAGAACAGGAACAGCTGGGTGATCTACCGCATGCAAGGGACCTTGGCTGATGGTCGCCGTACTTCTCCATCAGACCAGCTCCCTTCCACTCGGCGATCCTGCATTCTCCCTGGTTTTTTCTCTCAATAAAACTCTCCTGCATCCCAGCTTGAAATGCCTCCACTTCCTTTCTTCTCCCAAGGCTCTTCCAACCTCACCCAGCACAAAGACAGGGCTCAGGAACACACTGGGCTGAGTGGAAATGGGCTGCAAGGCCTCACCTATAGAGTATGTCCTTAGCAACAACAACAACACACACCACCATAAAACAATTTAGATGGAAGTGTCTCTTAAGATCATCGAGTCCAACCGTTAATCTAATGCTACCAAGTCCAGCACTAATACACATCCCTGAACTATACATTGACACAGCATTTAAATAACTCCAGGGATGGTGACTCAACTAATTCTAAAGTCAGCCAGTTCCAAAGCCTCGCAAACTTTTCTTGAAGAAATGTTTCCTAATATCCAATCTAACCCTCCCCTGGCACAACGTGAGGCCGTTTCCTTTCATCGTATCACTTGTTACTGGATCGACACTCCCACCCAACTAGCTGATGTCTGCAATGTTACTGAGGGTGCACTTTATCCCCTCCTCCAGATCACTGATAAAGCTATTCAAGAAAATTGGCTCAAACTCTCAGCCACGGGCAACTCCACTTGTGACTGGCCACCAACTGGATTTAACTCCATTCACCACAACTCTTAGGGCACAAACATCCATCCGGTTCTCTACCAAGCAAACAGTATGTCAGTCCAAGCCATGAGCAGCTAGTTTCTCCAGGAGAATGATGTAGGAAACAGCATCAAGTGCTTTACTAACTTGCAGGGAAAGAACACCCAACGCCTCTCCTCTCCTCTCACTGAAGGGGATCAGTATAGTCAAGCAGGACCTGCCTTTCATAAAACCATGCTGACTGAGCCTGATCACCTGGTTGCCCTGTAGGTGCTGAGTGAAGGCTCTCGAGATGATCTGCTCCATATCTTTGCCTGGCACTGAGGTCACACTCACAGGACTGTAGTTCCCCACATCCTCGATCCAGCCTTTATTGCACATGAGCCTCACTTTTGCTAATCTCCAGTCAGCTGGGACCTACCTGGTTAGCCAAGGAGTGCTGAGAAGTGCTTGAAAGTGGCTTGCAGAGCACATCCAACACCTCCTTCAATGCCCGTGGGTGGATCATTTCGTTCCCACACACTTGTGCATGTCCAAGCACTCTAGCAGGTCGCTAACCATCTCCATTGAACTATGAGGGCTTCATTCTGCTCCCCACTGACCCACTCCCTTCCTCGTCACAACTCTGGCCATCACAGCAAAGAAAATCACAGCAAAAAGAATCACTGAGAGTGCAAGGAACCTCCGGAGCTCATTTATTTCATCCTAACCTGCTCAAGCACGGCCAGATCGGGCACGATGTCCATAAACACGTCCACACAGGTTTTAAGTGTCTCCAAGGATGGGAATTCAGCACATCTTTGCACAACCAGTTTCACTCTTTGACCACTCTCACACCAAAAAAGGGTTGCCTTCCCTTCCAAGGAAATGGCACATCTTTTCAGCCTTCTCCATTCACCTTTGCACTGTCCATGGGCACCCATACGAGGATTCTCACTCCTCTGCCCTTCTGCCCTCCCACCTGCGATTTCGACACACTGATGACATCTTCCCAGCATGGCCTTGACTCCTGCCTGAAAACCCTCCCAGATCATTTAGCTTCCCCTCATAGTAAAGATGCTCTACTACTCTCAGCATCTGGGTGGCCCAGCACTTAACTTATTCCACTAAGTCCATGTCCTTCTTCCATGGGGGAGCCCTCAATGGACACAGGACTCACCATGGGACCTCATCAAACCCTGCAGAGAGTACAGGATCACCTGCCCCAACCTCCTGCCAACACTATTCCCAACACCGCGCTGGAGACACTTGCCCCCTTCAGACGTGACAGCACAATGATACCTTGCAGTCAGCTCGTTCTCCCAAGCAGCAACACAAAGCAGGGTTCAGAAAAGCTGCTTTCCAGCCTTTCTACCCCCAGCATGTCCTGCTGGGCGCGATGACACTCTAGGTGCAAAATTGTTCCTCATATCCAATGCAAAGCTCCCGGGACACAACTGGAGGCTGTTTCCTCCTCTATCTCTCGTTACTAGAAATAAGAGACTGACAGGCACCTCCATACAACCTTCATTCAAGCAGTTGTACAGAGAAATAACATCCCTGCACAACTTTCTTTTTTGGGAAACTAAAGCAGCCAAGTTGCTTGAAGCATTCCCCATTAATTCTTCTTCTCTAGACTCTTCATCAGCTTTGTTGCTCTTTTTTGGACACATGACACCAGAGCCCAGGCTGAAAACTTACCAGCCCTTGCGAGGCGATTGCTCCAGAGGGGCCAACCCAAGCCTTTGGGGAGCAGGGCAGGCCTCCCGACAGCACAGGGCTTGTCCGCTCTGAACCAGGGCTGCCAGGCCAACGGCCTGCTCTCGCAAACAGCCCTCCTCTGCCTGCTGGCACTGCCACCCCCAGGGACGGCCCCAAGGGGCTGCAAGCCCAAACAGGCAGCCGCCTTCCTCCCAGCCACAGCCTAACAAGCCAGAGGGGCAACAGGACACACACAGAGCAGCTGACAGGAAAGGCCGGGTCTAAAGAGAAGCTTAGTGAGCTGGCGGTGAGGTGGGGAGGGACTGAACGCCATGGCAGGGTCAATGCCTTGTGCCTGACACAACTGCAAAGACCAGACCAGGTTTCCAGGGCTGTGAGGAACTGCAGACCCCGTTACACAACATACCGCAAGCCACAATACACGAATGCATTGGGTTGACCTCATTGTTGACAAGCACATCTACATTTCGGCGACATCTACCAAATGTTCTGACACAAAGAACCAACATTAATGCAATTTTCCTCTATTACTCGCACTTAAAAGTTGCCGCCACGGTCAGAAGGACACGTGCTCCAGAAAAGGACATGAAAAGTGAGCGTTGTGGGAAGGGAAACACACCCCACCTCATTATTGGCGAGGTCGTGACACACAAGAGCCGCCTGCTGCAAAATGCCGTCACGCGCAAAGGCTGTCCCGCCCCTTGGGCACCCGCATAAAAGCCGGCCCAGCGCCTCTCTCCCTCACACCCTTCTCCTGACGCCTTCTCCTCCGCGCTCAACAAGGTGAGCCTCAACCCCCTTCCCCTCCTTCTCCTGGCCTGCCTGGCCCGGCTCTTCCAGCACGCTCTGCTGGCCCCAGCCTCAGCAGCCCTCACGCCTCCCCGCAGCCACGCTCCCCACAGCCCCACACCACGCCTCCCCACTCCCTCGCCCTCCTGCACCACCGCCCCTCCGCTTTCTCACCCCCCTCTCTTCCAGGGCCCCTCCACACCACAGCCATGGCCTGCTCCGACCTCTGCCGCCCCTGCGGACCCACCCCGCTGGCTAACAGCTGCAACGAGCCCTGTGTCAGGCAGTGCGAGGACTCCCGCGTCGTCATCCAGCCTTCCACCGTGGTGGTCACCCTGCCAGGACCCATCCTCAGCTCCTTCCCCCAGAGCACCGCCGTCGGATCCTCCTCATCGGCTGCCGTGGGCAACGTCCTCAGCTCCCAGGGAGTGCCCGTCTCCTCCGGAGGCTTCGGCTTCGGCTACGGCTACGGCTTGGGCGGCCTGGGCTGCTTCGGCGCCAGAAGGGGCTGCTACCCCTGCTAAGGGCCCTTGACACACGAGCTTGATGTCAACAGCCTCTCCTCTCAAGGAACCACGCAAAGAAAAATGTAAGGGCCAGCACTGGATGCCTGGAAACAGGGCCCGTGTACCGCCTTCTTTTGTCCAAATGTCTTCTCTGCATCCTCCCTTCTGCCATGTCCGCTACACTCTGCTGCAAACACCTTCTCACAAACCTAAACCCACTGGGGACCTCAGGTGGAGGGTAGGAGTACCGGTGTACTCTGGAAAAATCTAGTGCCCCTAAGGGACCCCTGCTGAATGGTCACCCTATTACACCTCAGACGAGCTCCCTTCCACTTCGTGTGTCTTCTTTTTCCTTTCTTTTCTCCTTAATAAATTTGTCCCACATCTTAGCCAAAGACTACTCTGCTTCCTTTCTTCTCCAAAAGCTCTTTCAGCTTTACCCAGCACAAAGCCAGGGCTCAACTGCCATCGGGGTGGGTGGAAAAGGGATACAAGACCTCTCCTCGGAAATATGCACCACCAACACAGACTGGACCTGGGGGGCTTCCAGAATGTGCCAGAAGCCCATCCTTGCCTCAGCACCTTCAGCAACCAGCCAATCACAAGGCACCTCTCAACATACCAGTCAGGGCGCCGCTGACAACCTGCCAGTCAGGGGGCAACTAATAGGCACCAGCTGCTGCAAAAGGCCCTGGGAGCATCCAGAAGGTGCCTGTCAGGATTCCAAAATCGACATTGCTGGTAGAACAAATGGATAATCTTCACCAAATGGCCCCCAAAACAACTGCTGGCAGGGCTGGGCGGTGAATGAGGGAATGAATGGGTAGAAATGCTGACGAAAACCAAAAGTAACACCTCATACGAGAGCAGTTAGGGGACTCAGAGGGGAAAGAGGGAGGGAAAATGCCCTGATTAAATAACATCCCCCCAAAATCTGCCATCAATTAATACCTCAACAGAGCCTGCGCTTCTTCCTGCGCTGCAGGGTGCCAGACACACCCACACAGGGTCCCCTGTCATCGTCCCCCTTGTTGTGGTCCCCAGGCCAACTGCCTGGCAGTCCCCATGACACCATCTGCCCTCACAGACGGCTCCCAGGGCCACCCACACAGGATCCCACGGTCCCATCCCCCCTGGCTACCAGGACCCTGGGCAACCCATGCAGGGTGCCCAGGTCACCACCCGCCTTGCTCTGGGCTCCTCAGCTGAACCAAGCGTGGGTCCCTGTGGCACTGTCCACCTGGCTGCCTGGTCCCCCTGCCACCTATGTGGGAGTCCCCACACCACAGTCTCACCTTGCTTCGGGGTCCCCAACTGATCCCTTGCAGAGGATCCTCAGTCCACCATCTCCTCTTCACTGCAAGGTCCCACAGTGACCCATGCAGAGGGTCTCCGGACCATCATCCTCCCTACCTCAGCGTCCCTGGGCCACTTGCTCAGGGGACCCCAAGACACCATTCCTCCGCTCTGAGATCACACAGAAAGCCCCCTCTCTGAGTGCATCCACCCAATCTGGGGTAGGGTCCTCCATGTGCTGCAGGTGGATATTTACTGCACCACAGACCTGCACGCGCTGCAGGTGGACAGCCTGCCTCACCATGGCCTTCTCCACAGGCTGCAGGGGAATCTCGCCTCTGCTGCCTCAAGCAGATCCTACCCCTTTTTCTTTACTGACTTGACACTGCAAAGTTGATTCCTCTCACACATTCTCCCTCCTATCTTCCTGCTGCTGTTGCGCAGTACTTCTTCCCCTGCTTAAATACATTAGCAAAGCGGCGCGACTACAACAGCTGATTGGCTCAGGTTTGGCATGGAATGTGCTGTCATGGAGCCGGCTGGCATTGGCTTTATTGGATGTGAGGGAAGCTTCTGGCATATTCTCACAGAAGACAACCCTGCAGATCTGTCACTAACAAAACCTTGCGATATAAATCAATATACCCAGCGACAAACATACAGTCCTGATGGGCAATGAGAAATACAGAAAGCATACCCAAAGGAAAAGGCCACGTATAAGGACAGGCTTAGTGAGCTGGCAGAGAGGTGTGGAGGGATGGAACGCCACGGCAGAACCAGCCCCTCACACCCACAACACGTCCAAAGCCCAGATCAGTCTGCCAAGCCTCTGAGGAGATGGGGCCCCCTCTTCACAACACACCCGCAAAACCACCTCACACGGGTGCCACGGGATGACCTCACTGATGACACCCCATTAGTCCTACACTTTCGCTGCGTCTGCTGAATGCCCTGACACGCACCTTCCATGTAAATGCTCCCAAATACCTACTCTCCATTCAAAGCTTCTGACGGGCTCAGGTGGATACGTCTGCAAGAAGAAGACATGAAAAGGGAGCACTGAGGGAAAGGAAACACACCCCACCTCATTATTGGCGAGGTCGTGGCACACAAGAGCCGCCTGCTGCAAAATGCCGTCACGCGCAAAGGCTGTCCCGCCCCTTGGGCACCCGCATAAAAGCCGGCCCAGCGCCTCTCTCCCTCACACCCTTCTCCTGACGCCTTCTCCTCCGCGCTCAACAAGGTGAGCCTCAACCCCCTTCCCCTCCTTCTCCTGGCCTGCCTGGCCCGGCTCTTCCAGCACGCTCTGCTGGCCCCAGCCTCAGCAGCCCTCACGCCTCCCCGCAGCCACGCTCCCCACAGCCCCACACCACGCCTCCCCACTCCCTCGCCCTCCTGCACCACCGCCCCTCCGCTTTCTCACCCCCCTCTCTTCCAGGGCCCCTCCACACCACAGCCATGGCCTGCTCCGACCTCTGCCGCCCCTGCGGACCCACCCCGCTGGCTAACAGCTGCAACGAGCCCTGTGTCAGGCAGTGCGAGGACTCCCGCGTCGTCATCCAGCCTCCCGCCGTGCTCGTCACCCTGCCAGGACCCATCCTCAGCTCCTTCCCCCAGAGCACCGCCGTCGGATCCTCCTCATCGGCTGCCGTGGGCAACGTCCTCAGCTCCCAGGGAGTGCCCGTCTCCTCCGGAGGCTTCGGCTACGGCTACGGCTACGGCTTGGGCGGCCTGGGCTGCTTCGGCGCCGGAAGGGGCTGCTACCCCTGCTAAGGGCCCTCACCACCACCCCTGACACCAACCACCCACACCCTGCAAGCCCCGGCATCGATTGAGGATGCAGCTCCGGGCTGTTGCTGGCACATGGGCTCACCCTCCATGGCTCCTCCTCTCAAGGCACTATGCAAAGAATCAGGGAAGGGGGAGCCCCGGCTGCCTGGAAACATGGCCCATGTACCTCCTCCTGTTCTCCAACTGTCTTCTTTGCATCGCCCCTTCTGCTATGTCTACTACTCTCCACTGCAAACACCTTCTCACAAGCCAAAGCCCACTTGGTGGCTTTGGTGGGCTGCTCTCACTGGAGGGAAGGTAGACCTCAGAGCTCTGGAACGTGTAATGCACTCAAGAGACCTCGGATGATGGTTGCCATATTTCTACATCAGACCAGCTCCCTTCCCCTCGGTGCTCCTGCATTCTCCCTGTTTTTTTCTCTCAATAAAGTTCTTCTGCATCCCAGATTCACATGCCTCCACTTCCTTTCTTCTCCCAAGGCTCTTCCAACCTCACCCAGCACAAAGCCAGGGCTCTGCAACCCATTGGCATGGGTGGAAAGGGGCTACAAGACCTCACCTATTGAGTATGTCCCCAGCAACAGCAACAGTAGACACCAGCTTAGAATCATTCAGGTTGGAAAAGGCTGTTATGATCATCGAGTCCAGCTGTTAACCTCACACTACCAAGTCCACCACTAAACCACGTCTGTTAACAGCACATCTACACATCATTTATATACCTCCTGGGATGGTGACTCAACAAATTTCCTGGGCAGCATGTTCTAACGCTTGGCAACCTTTTTAATGAACAAATGTTTCCTAATATCCAATCTAATCCTCCCCTGGCACAACATGAGATTGTTTCCTTTCATCCTATCACTTCTTACTTGGGAAAAGAAGCCAACATCCACGTCTCTGTCACCTCCTTTCAGGTAGCTGCAGAGATCGACAAGGGTCCCCTCAGCCTCCTGTTCTTCAGAACCACTCCAGGTCCCTCAGTGACTCTTTGTAGGACTCATTCGCTAAGCGCTTCACCAGCTTCCTTGCCCTTCTTTGGACATTCTCCAGCACCTCAATGGCTTCTTTTAGTGAGGGGCCCAAAACTGAACACGGTATTCCAGGGGCGGCCTCATCAGTAACTAAAAAACAGCGGGACGATCCCTTCCCTAGTCCTGCTGGCCACACTGTTCCTGACAGAAGCCAGGACACTATTGGCCTCCTTGGCCACCTGGGCACACTGCTGGCTCATACTCAGACGGTTGTTGACCAAGACCCGCAGGTCATTTTCCATCAGGCAGCTTTCCAGCCACTCTGCCCCAAGCCTAGAGCATTGCAGGGGGGTTGTTGTGACCCAGTTGCAGGACCCAGCACTGATCCTTGTTGATCCTCATACAATTGGACTCCGCCCATCGATGCAGCCTGTCCAGATCCCTCTGTCAACCCTTCCTACCCTCAAGCAGATCAACACTCCCACTCAACTTGCTGATGTCTGCAGTGTTACTGAGGGTGCACTTTATCCCCTCCTCCAGATCACTGATAAAGCTATTCAAGAAAATTGGCTCAAACTCTCAGCCACGGGCAACACCACTTGTGACTGGCCACCAACTGGATTTAACTCCGTTCACCACAACTCTTAGGGCACAAACATCCAGCCGGTTCTCCACCAAGCAAACAATATGTCAGTCCAAGCCATGAGCAGCTAGTTTCTCCAGGAGAATGATGTAGGAAACAGCATCAAGTGCTTTACTAACTTGCAGGAAAGAACATCCAACGTCTCTCCTCTCCTCTCACTGACGGAGATCAGGATAGTCAAGCAGGACCTGCCTTTCATAAAACCATGCTGACCGAGCCTGATCACCTGGTTGCCCTGTAGGTGCCGAGTGAAGGCTCTCGAGATGATCTGCTCCATATCTTTGCCTGGCACTGAGGTCACACTCACAGGACTGTAGT